ATCCATCCATCCAACCAACCATCCATCCATCCAACTATCCATCCATTTATCCATCCATCCATCCATTTATCCATCCATCCATCCATCACAACCAACCATCCAACCAACCATCCATCCATCACAACCAACCATCCATCCATCACAACCAACCAACCATCCATCCATCCATCCATCACAACCAACCAACCATCCATCCATCACAACCAACCATCCATCCATCCATCCATCCATCCATCCATCCATTTATCCCATCCATTTATCCCATCCATCCATCCGTTTATCCATCTATCCATCTATCCATCCATCCACACATCCATCCATCCATCCATCCATCCATCTATCCATCCATCCATCGATCCATCCATCCACACATCCATCCAACCATCCATCCATCCAACCATCCACCCATCAATTTCTCCTTTTGCCCATCAAATTGATGTAATTCAGTCAGTTTTACAGAAACTAAACTTGATGTGGTAGTATCTGAGAGTCATCTCCAGCACCTGTCTCRTTGCTGACCTTTTGTCGGCCTGTAAATAAAGAGTCAAACAAACCCAGACTCGTGTCTGAGGAGGAGCCAGATCTCTGGACAATCATTAGTGTCAGAACTCTGAGCGATGCTTCTCTTGGTTGACATGATGCTCCTGTCGGCTCAGGGACGTCCTGACCTTCAGCTGACAAACACTCAGCCTCATTCGAGCAGGAAACCCTGAAATAAAAAGCAGAAGAACTGGTGCTAACATGTTTAGAGGCTGAGGGAGACGGACGACTGCAGAGAGGCTTCCTGTCGGATCATTAGGTTTGATTCGGTTTGATGGTTCAGGACTTTTGCAGATAACGTTTCTGTTGGTCTCAAATGGAATTTCGATGGCGGTGCACATTGGGCTGATGGAGCACATCCAGATGAAGTATATTTAGACCTCTGCAGGTGCTGCGAGCCACAGATTGATTGTCCGAATAAAAATAACACGTCTCCATGAATCCAGGTGGAGCTAAAGCTCMAACAGGAAGCACTTCTCTTAGAATAGAAAGAAAAATTAAGTTACAGAAGTGGGTGTTSAGTAAAACGCCAAAAATAAAAGGCAGGYGATAATGTTTTTGTCTGTTAGCATTAGCACAATATCTCATGAACAGCTGGACTAAATCTAATGAAACTTCAGGATAATTACAGAAATTTTCCAGTTAGGGTTCAGTTATTTATATCAAACGTGACGCACAAACAAAAAAGAGAAAAAATCTAATCAAAAACATGTATTTTCGCTAGCCGTGGGTGATCTACATTTTTCTCAAGAAACGCTAGCCCTTTTAATGAATTTATCGAAAAGGATTACGGTCCAGATTGAGCTCATTCCTCCCGATGTCATGAATATAATCTGCCTCTAAACATTTCAGAGCCACTTATCTCTCTGAGCCACGTTTGTTGTGTTGTGTTGTGGGTCTTTAGCTCGCTCCGTCGGGGCTCAGAGGAGGTTTATCTGCATCTAACGGCCGCCGCAGCCTCCCCTGGTCACCCCCCCCTCCTCCTCCTCCGGTTTTTATCCCATTTTTACCAGAACAAGACGCCTCTCCCTGCACTGTGCCGCCTTTGAGCAGCGTCAGAACTAGGCCAAGCTGATGAGTGCAGATGCTGCTGAAAATACTCCCCTCCTCCCTCTCCTCCTTCGCCTGGTTTCTTCCCCACCGTGGGGGTGTTTTTTAGGTTGATGTCAGGGTGTGAAGGCGCCTCGGTGTCGTGAACAAATAGAAGTAATCTGCTGTTTTCTTTAAGAACACACCCAATCTGTCTCCACACATTTTTCATTTGTTTTTTGTTTGTCTTTGACTCAACGAGTGCGACACCTGCAAACTCTCTGCTCAGCGTTTGCCTGCGAGCCTCGACTAATTACCGAGGAGAGGAATTAATTAAGTCTAAACACTTGTTTAACGAAAACCCGCTGTCTCACGTCGTCTTGTTCCACCTAATGTCGCCGTTTGACTCCTCTTCGTTCAACGTCCCCGCTRCTGATTCATCCTGTGAACTTTCGAACTGACAAAACAAGAAGTGAAAGCAACGTTTTGACTTGAATTAGCTGAAATTGCTGCTCAGATCGGGACTCGTGGGAGGAATTTTCCAGGGTTTAATAAAAACCTTGCTGCTCTGAGTTATCGTTTTCTTCTTGCTGTGTAATTTGAGGATATTTGAGACGAGAAGGCGTCCTTAGAAAGTAGCTCCGCTGATCAGCAAGACCTGTAAATAAGTCTGGATCAGGTTCTTCCTTTTTTCACTCTGTTTTTTGTTTTTCTTCTCTCACATAATGACGTGAGACAGAACTGGGCGGAATAAAAATGAATGATTTCATTAGTTTCTCAGGTTGTTTTTTTTCCCCGTGTGATTTCTGCAGCAGTGTTGGCTGCAGGACACATTTCTCCTTGGAACGTTTTGGAAGTGTCGTGTGTCTCCAAACCTGAGCCAGGATGAGCCGAACATTATTTTTATCCTGAACTGTTTTCTGTTGAGCCATCTGAAGATGGTTTACGTCACGAGCTGTGCAGGAAATCACAGACAGACTGTGATTATCTATCTCATGTCAAAGGACGTACCTTGGATTTGATTTGTTGTTCTGGACTCACCCTTGTTCACTGCAAAGTTGATGAACTCTCTTTTCTGATCATTTTTTCCTTTCATTCCACTGTGTCTCTCATCAACCAAGGCAGCCCAGCTTATCTCCCTCAGAAATATTAAACACATTAATCTGGATTCCCTTTCCACTAGTATTACCTCCACTTTGACCCTTTTAACATCTTCTGATCACTACTCATTATAACAATCATTTAACTCATATTCTCAACTTACTTGCTCCTGTTAAAACACAATCCTTCACTCATTCCAAACCCCTGGTTTACTCCTGAACCATAAAATCCAAATGTCTTCAATTGGAACGACTCAATAAAAGATCTGATCACACCACTGGTCACATTACAAGATGTGACATGCATTCTTCAAATACAAAAAGTCAAAGAAAACATCTTTATATTTAAGAAAGTTGGAATAAAACACCTGATTTAACCCATTTTGTCCCATAACTGGCATATTTTCTTTTGAACTTGGCTCAGACAAAGTGAAACAGGAAGTGACATCAATGGGGAACTCTTTAACAAAAAAAACTCTCTGGTCTTTGTTTATTGAAACAATATTATTTGAACTCTGACTCTCTGATAGAGACTCAAAATAATCTTAAACATCAGATTATTCTCTACAGTCTGGGTTGTTGGCTGTTGTAGCATTGCTCTGTTSACATTCAGACATTCCCCTTTGACATCACTTCCTGTTACTTCAAAGGCAAATATCTCAACAACTGTTCATCTCAGCGACAKGAAATTTATTTTGCAATTTTTTATCAATGTCCTCTTTCTAAAAATGCATTCATAGGTATAATAAAAATTTGACRTCACAGGCACTTTAATTTCTCAAACTAAATCCACTTAATACTCTGGCCTTAGATTCTGTTTTTACTGTTAAACGATATGTTTCATCCCCGACTCTCTCCCCTCTCACTTCTATTCAGATGACACCTTCTATCGTGTTCTTTTTTTAAACGATAAAATCAAAAAAATTAATCAACAACTTTGTCCTGTAATAATAATATTATTTATTGTCTGAATCTTTTCTCTCATACACTTGCGTTTTATAAAACAAGTCTAAACAGATTAATTTATCCTGRTCTTTGCTTTAGAGAGTTGGTTACAAAAGAAAAACAAACTATTATTTTCAAGTTTCATAATGATGTGTAGTTTGTTGAAATGTCGTGATTTTTTAACCTGGCAACAAACTATTTTTGTTTTATGAGACCGCTGGTTTGAAAACTCACTTTTTTATTAGTCTGGAGCGATGTCATCAGGATTCCCCAAGCATCACAATGAACAAATTAAGAAATTAAACGGCAGGCGATACAGAGACGTTTCAAGCTAATTTATTTAAGATTTATTAGATAATTATTCCTAAAGAGATACCAGTTGCAAAACTTTAAAGAAAGATTAGATTATGATGATTATATGGTGTTTTAGTTACTTATTGTGATTGCTGTACGATATCTTTATAGACAAAAATCAATTTTTTTTTCAAATTTTGTACAGCCGCTTTGCTCAGACTAACTTGGTTTGCCAACACAGGTCACACATAGAAGGTGGAGGTTGTCCAAATACATGGATTTCTGGGTTTTTTTCTGTTCAAATTAGGAAGAATATTAATATATATATATATATACATATATATCCTTGTTTTCTGTTTCAGACGGCGCTGAAGCGACGAGGAAGCAGGGAAGCCTTCAAAGACAAAAAACCCACAAGTCAGGTAAACAGAAACTTGTATCCTTTGGTTTTAATTTAGTATGAATAAATATGTAGTCATAAAACCAAAAGGTTTATATTTTACTGTTAAAAGTAAAAGATGATTTGTGACATTGTGGAACAAAAGAGAGAGAAACACAAACTGTCGTGGTGTTTTTGAAGCACTTTAGTTCTGATCCTGTTTCAGTCAAAGTGAGCAGTTTTTTCATGGCGTCCCTTTCTGTCGGCCCTCGCAGGAGGACAGCGCAGACCTCCGGTGCCAGCTCCAGTTCTCCAAAGAGGAGTCCGGCCTGATGAGGAAGAAGATGGCGAAGCTGGGTCGAGAGAAGGACGAGCTCGAGCAGGAGCTGCAGAAGTACAAATCCATCTACGGGGATATCGACAGCCCGCTGCCCCTGGCGGAGTGCTCGGGCGGGGGCCCTCACACCACGCGGGAGGCCGAGCTGCGCCTCCGCCTGAAGCTGGTGGAGGAGGAGGCCAACATCCTGGGGAGGAAGATCGTGGAGCTGGAGGTGGAGAACCGCAGCTTGCGGGCAGAAAACGAAGACATCCGCAGTCAGTACGAGAGGGACTGCTTCGGGCGGGAGCCGTTCTCCAGCATGCCCTCGTCCCCGTATGGCGGCGATCCGCTGGAGTCAGCCAATGAGCTGCGTCGCCACCTCCAGTTCGTCGAGGAGGAGGCGGAGCTTCTGCGCCGATCCATCTCGGAGATCGAGGACCACAACAGGCAGCTGACGTCTGAACTCAACCGCTTCAAGTTCGGCCCGAGCAGCAGCAGCTCTGGACCTGCTGGGGACGAGGCCAGTGAGGGGGTCCTCTTCAAGTCCGGTAACGGCAGCGGGATGCTGGGGGAGGAGCTAAAGTCGGCCAGGATGCAGATCAACGAGCTGAGCGGAAAGGTGATGAAGCTGCAGTACGAGAACCGCGTCCTCATGTCCAACGTCCAGCGCTGCGACCTGGCCGCGCACCTCGGCCTTCGCACCGGCAGCCCTCGAGACAGCGACGCGGAGAGCGACGCGGGCCGCAGGGAGGCCGCCGAGGAGGAGGAGGCGGGGCGACTTCTTCTCCTGCAGCCGAAACGCGAGGGCCCCGTCGGAGGGGAGAGCGACTCCGAAGACGTGTTTGAGAAAACGGGAACCACCTCAGGGTTAGGGAGCATGAAACCCGCCGACGGCAGCGACCTGAGCGCCGTCGAAGCAGCCAGCCGCAGGAGGGAAGAGCGCGAGTCCTTCGCCAACGTGAAGCGAGAGGCCGACCGGCTGGGGAAGTCCGTGGACCGTCTGATCACAGACACAGATAGCCTGATCTTTGAAGGACAGCTGCTGGTGACGACAGGGGAGGACCTTGAGGGCGGCGTGGCCTCCGGGTCCAAACCAGACTCTCAGGTCCTGGACACAGTCAACACCCGCATGAAGGCTTTCCGCACTGAGCTGCACATCTTCATGGAGAAACTGGACCACRTAGGGGAGGGGCTTAGAGAAAGGACAGACGACCTCTCGCCCATGCCGAACCTCACAGAGTCCAGCAGCTTCCTGTCCACCGTCACCTCCATGTCCCGCGACTCTCCCATYGGCACCTTCGGACGAGACCTGATCACGGACTTCCAGGTGAGTTCATTGGACCCAGATCTGTTTGTTGTCACCATTTTTTACCTCMCGAGTTTAGACAAAATGAAACTAGTAGAATCCAGATACATACCAATTCAAAGGGTTTCTAAACGTGAGCAGTTCTTTACACTTAACATAAATGTCCCTAAGTGTTCAGTCATTAGTGGACCATTAGAGACCAAAATCAACTCAACGGGAGCCTCAATCAGCTGTGTGCGCAATAAGATTCAGCTCTAATTAGAGACGAGAGTAACACTGAACAGCTTCAACACAAATCTTAGCCCAAGTTGCACAACGACTCCTAATGAATCAGTCTGGATTTTATTTTATTTCAAGAGAGCTGTGATCCCTTTACCTTGTTTCGTTAAATGAGAAAGAACTTGTTTTAAGCACTTTAGGTGCTAAAATGGACTTTTCAGTTGTCAAAGTAAGCACCTGGTTTAGGTTTATTGCGTCTCAGTGTCCTGTTTGTAATGTGTGAAGGTAGAATGAGCAAATGACCTCCCCCTGTGGTAGTCACAGGGTTGAATTAATGACCTGCCTAAAGCAGGAAGGAGCTACGACACTTTTATAAAGAATATAACGCCGGATCTGTTCAGTTWGATGGAATCAGAGATGGGGACTCATGACTCTGACTTAGACTTGACTTGGACTTGTGGTTTGAGACTCGCAAACAATGCAAGTCTTTTCACTGCCCGGCTCACAATGCTCACTCCCTCAATACACCTCCRTGCTCCCCTCCCCCTCGCCTGAGAACAGGAGGGGCCAGTGCCGTTCAGTGTTAATGACACGTACCTACATGACAGAGTATCAGCATGGCAGRCTGCCATTCGTTATAAGCTTTGCTTACAGACACTTTATTCAACGCCATGACAAGAGACTGGCAAAATGGAGTCCAAATCCAAAATTGGCAATGGCAAGATATAATTACAGTATGCTTTTGTAAGACTACAAGTGCAAAATACAGTTAACAATACTCTAAATGCATGATTGTTGTTATTTCAGCCTTAACCTTATCTGTATGTTTAACAGAGTATTATGTTTTAATAGTATTATTAAAACGTACTACTAATATTTGATTATAATATAGTATTATAGAATATAATCTAGTATAGTTAGAATACCTTTGATCAAAATGCCAGTTAAGTGATACATGCAACAAGACTTGGACTTGAGGTCAAGAGACTTGAGACTTGGATGTTTGGTCACAGACTTGACTTGGAGGTCAAAAATTGATACTTGACTTGGACTCGCAAAAAAAGACTTGCGCACATCTCTGGATGGAGTCAACAAAGGTTAAAGTTCAAGAAGCTCACTTATGGYCTAAAAGCTGATTCTGCTGCAACAGTTTATATCTGATCTTAAAGTTCAGCATTAGTCTGATACTTCAATAAAGCAACATTTAGCTTTAGAGCACAAACATTGCTGAAACCTTACATTRCATCAGCTGTGGTCGACAGGTTTGGCTGCTTTGCTTTAACTCACATCCTGTGTCAACTTGTTACCAAAGTAAAAAAGTGCGTTTTTATTACAAAACAAGTCTTTATGGTWTTCTCGTGCTGGCGTTTTATTTTAAAGGAAGCAAACTTAACCAARGTCTGATGGTAGTAAGGAGGGACAACAGGGCTATGGTTGTTGTGAAACAAGTAGTGCAKATTATTCAAAACAATCCATTACATTGATCATAAAGAATAGCCAACACAGAATTKTATTATTGAATATTGTATTACTTAACCATGTAAATGCTCATTTCTGAGGTGCRCCCACAGGAAGCATAGATAGACATCAAAGAAATGAGTGATTAATCAGMTAATCGAAAAAATAATSAACAGATTAGTCGGCTATCAAAGTAATTGTTAGGYGCAGCCSTAAAAACAAGTTATATTTTCTTTTTATATTTGCTGTAAACTAGAAACATTGCATTAAAAAAATCTAAAGAGCCGCCAGGAAAAGCCAGCTTGTTTGGTGTTTTGTTGTTTTCGGCCCGTAAATCGAGTCATAAAAGATTTGATTGGATAGTCATCCACGTCTTTTAGGAAGTTGCGAGGTCCTGTCTCTTTAAGACACCCAGCTCTACCACACTGCAACCACCACCCCTCCCCAGTCCCACTGCCACCACCATCGCTTCCTGCTGCTGCTGCCTCCACATCTGCATCTCCATGCACATCCACATAGCCAGCAGCCCCGCCCCACCCCGCCCCGCCTGTCTGCCTCCCTGCACTCACTGTCTGCAGCTTTGCGGGGCCCAGGGAGGGCGCTTGGTGTGAATGGAGTAAGTACTGAAAGTGTCGTAGCAGCTTATTAACTTCTTTGGACCCCTGTGAAGAGTTGCATGAAGAAGTTCAGTGTTTTTCTTTTTTTTTCTTTTTTTAACTCATATTTTATGAATCATAAATAGTTTGGTTGCATTCTACATTATGTCATCTCAAAAACTCAAACTGGATTGGTGACTCCATGGTGTTTCTAAGGAAACWGACAATAACAATGTGAAATGGACCAAACAGAGAGAGCTGCATGGTGCTGAATGAGTCGCCTGTGGAAGAACGTCTCTGGCTGACATCCTGCTTTCTGTTCTTGTTTAAAGAAAGTCTCAGATATGGTTTACCTTCCAGGTTCAGCTTCATCTCTGTGCTGCATGAYCAAGCAAACATCTTTTCCTTTTTCCTAATTAGACAGGAAATAAAACAGCTTTTTAAACGTAATGCTCCACAWRAAGTGAAGAAATCTGCTCTCGCTTACCAACTYGTGAGACATTTCTTACTCAGTGAGGAACGCAGAAGCTTCCCCTCCCAACAAGGCCGGAATGGATTTATTATGCAGACTGAGGCAAAACRCTCCATGTTTGTCCCGGAGACACCGCCACCGTTTCTGACAGACAAAGAGCAACRATGCTAGATGTTAGAAGTAGGGGTGTCCCGATACTAGGGGTGTAACAGTACATCGATCCACATGGATACATCAATGAAATGATCAAAGATTCAGTTACATCARGGCAAAGTGAAAACATCGATCCTCATTATCAGGATATGGATTGAAAAAAGGTTCATCTCCTGTCTAAACCTTTTTTTGCATCGTATCAATTGCAGACTTTTAAATTTAATCTAAATCSTATCATGACAGACTTTGTAATATCAATAAACATTGTATCGTCATCCAAACAAACTGATATAATGTGGTTTACACACTTACCCGATACCAGATTTTCCTCAAACCGTACGTCTACTTCAGTTTGGGCACTTCCCAATACCAAGTACATTCCAAGTTAAAACCTAAACATTACACAATGACTTTAAAAACACATTTTTAAATTTAGAATAAGTTGGTTCTCATTCCTCACAGGCCGACAGCCCATCTGACTGCATCAAATCTAATATACAGCATGATATATACTGTTGAAACATTTTAATTAAAAAAAAACAAGGTTTTCTTTCAACTCATAAATGTTGCCATAAACTGACAAACCTTACACTTGAAATTTAAACTGTAACATATACGATGAATGGATTATTGATGCTGATATATAGTATTGATATTGGTGTCAGGTTCTCGTAAAAATCACTTTTCAGAAACACAGAGAACAACAGAAATGTATAAACTCTGTTTAGACCAAGTGTGTATCAGCGTACCAGAAGTTGGCATACAGTGCACTGCAATGCATCTAAAATACCCATCATTCACATTAGTAACTGTAGAAAGGTCMATTTAGGAAAAAAACTAAGTTCTTCCTAGGGTTGGGCAGTATTGGCAAAAAAATTAATCACAATTAATTTTGGTATTTGGCCAATRACGATTAATTTGACRATTAATCCCCTGGAGTCCCTCCGTGGACACCTTTTTGTCCTAGTCACATGACCAATTTAGTGGGAAAGATTTGCTCTTCGTAAAAATCTGTTCCAAATTGTGTCAAAATTACAGACTTCAGGCTATACATCAAACTTTAAAATGTCTTGATAGAGAAATAAATTACAGAACTTTTTTTTTAATGTTCGTCATGTTTGAAGCGGAGAGGAACACCGAACGAACTCTGCTTGGCGGCATTAATTGTATTAATCGTCAAGTGCCAAAGAATAATCGATTGTTTTTCTGACGATCAATTGCACAAGATACGATTACGCCCAGCCCTAGTTCTTCCTCTCGGCCAGCATAGCCATGGAGAACCCCAGGGTTACGCACACCTATAAACGTCGCCGCGACAAATACGTTTTGCTGTAACGTTTGTAAAGATAGCTGTATTTTCCTACAGCCTCGGMCAGCTGTTCCTCAGCGGAGCARKTGGAACCGTTCGCTCGATTTTTCCTCATAAACACACTAAGAGTTAACGTCTACCCTTGGGAGAAGAGTGTGTTGACAAGAGTCTCCGGAAGCTCCGGGGAGAACAAAATTTGACAACCGTTAGCAAGAACAGATTTCTTCACTTCTTGCGGGGCATGAGTCCAGCTGGATGCACTGGCTTGGTTCTGCTTTGCTCCTCTTCCTCTGGTTAGTCTGGGTGAAGCTGGGTGGTTCTGCTACATCAGTACTTTGCACGTTTTTGAGAAATGTAGTAGGGCAAAGGTCTGAGGTCACGACCCCTAGTGGATTTGTGAAGGTACTGCAGGGGGGAGTGAGATTTTTGGTAAAAAAAAATTTTTGTATTTCCAAGTTTTGTCTCTGTATCAAATGCTTAGTAATAAGTCATGYTTTATGTAGTACTGTAGTTTGTTATAAAATACAATATAATACACATTATAAATAAATACTGTACATATGTATATAGTAGGGGGTCCTTGCTCCATCTCTCCCTCAGTYTGAGGGTCCCAGACAGAAAAACGTTGAAGACCCCTGTTTGTAGAGTTTAATTTAAAAAAATACCCCTTTAATATTAATAAACAGCAGCAGTAAAATGTTTATCTCAAAGTAAAAGTACTCATTCATCAAAGGAACATAATAGTTCTTATCCTGGGACTGTTTAAAAAAAGGCATAAAAACACGACTTCAGCACTTTTATGATTATGAAACAGCACCTTTATTTATAAAAAGTGTAATTTTTAATATTGTCTTGTTCACAGCATGCACCTTTAGCACGTTCCTGCTTCAAGCCTAAAAATAAAAGTTTATTTTTATTGTTAAATTTAATATAATTTGCATCCCCACTGACCGGAGATGCAATTATCCTTGATTTCGTTGCTTCTGAAGCACACACGGCTGTGCACTAGCATGTGTTAGCCTTCCTAGCTGTAGCTCTGCAGTTCTTGGTGGTATTTCTCAGTTGTTGGTTTGGACTCATGTATCCCTCATTGCATGCGCTTCATAACAGGTGTTTTGCATTTCTTTTTTTCCCCCCCTGGTTCCCTCTCTTTGTTCCTCTTTGTGTTCCCACCAGATGTTTCAGCCCATTGTTTTGTTCATCCTCATCCTCGTTCTTTTCTCATCTCTCTCTTACGCCGTCATCTTTAAGTTGGTCTTCCTCTTCGCGCTCTTCTTCATACTCTAGTCCGATCCTTCCCTCATCATGTAGTCTGTTGATTTTACCTCCTTTGCTTATGGTTTTATTCCCATTTTAAGTTTTTATTTTTGTTTTATCCTCGCTTGCTTATCTTCCTCGCCCTCCCTCTTTACCTCGTTTGGTGTCTTTTGTCGGTTTTGTCCACAATCCACCTTATACATGTCCCCCCTCCCTACCCCTCACCACCACCACCCGTACCTGTTGCCCACCCTTCTACTCCTTTACACTCTCCTCCCAACACCCCCCTCCCCTCCCCATGTCACTCACAGTCCGTTCAGAGGGATGAGCTGGAGTGGCGACTAGGACAGGAGCGAGGTGTGGAGCCCCAGACCCAGAGACTCACTGTGTACCACAGGCCCCTGGCTTTAAGAATAGAGGTCAGTGCCTCCTCCCTCCTTCACCTCCCCTTCCACACCAGYGCGGGCCCACTGCCGAAAACTAAAGCATGGATTTGAGACGGATGTTGTCATTTTATCAACCAAAAGATTAAAACTGAAATAAGGTTCAGATGAGGCCGATAAAGACCCTCTCGGTGTGAGAGAACGACACACACCTAGAGCGCTTACCACGCTACTTACCTCAAGTGTGAAACTTTGGTCAACTTCCTGTGTGGACGGATATCTGGTTGTAAAGAACTGTGTCTTTGTATTTACAGTTCGGTTTTATTTTTTATAAAGATATATTTAAAGTAAATGAAGGAAAAGACCAACTTGAGCTTAAATTATTTGTGATTTATTTGTCACGTTAGGTTTATTTTGTTGTCGTTTTCGTCCCAGTAGAAAGTTTTTAAAGATTTTTAAACTTAAGTGATTGAAAGGAAAAAAATTAACCTAGAAAAATTACATTTTCAACACAGCGAGCRAACCCACATGAGATATTTGGCGATTATTTTACGCCAGATGCTCAAACTGGGCTCAAACCTGCAGCCTCCAGATTACGAGTCCGTCACACTGACCGCTGAGCTAAACAAATAAAAGACAAGCTAAAAGCTGATAATTGTAGATAGCTAGCTAACAGTGTCAAAGATAAGAAGTTTAAATTAGCAAGAGGTTAGCTAAAATCTAAATTAGCAAAATAGAAGATAAAAATAGCAAAACACTGGCTAAAAGTTAAAGTTGAGAAATTATACTTCAAAATATCAAAGCACAAGATAAATATAGCTAAAGACTAGCTAAAGCTAAAGTCGCAGTGTGGTATTTAAAAGTAACAAAACATTGCCTAAAAGTAGTTAAAGTTTAGCTAAAAGCTAAAATAGCACAGTTTTAGCACAAACTAAAACTAGGTAAAGACTAGCAAAAATCTAGCCTGTTAAAAACCAGACCCTTGTTCTTCACTTTGCTTTGTACAAAGGGTCTGGACTCTTGACTATTGAGAAGMGATTGTTTCCTGGAGGCGTGGCCTCTGTTGAMGTTTAAAACGATTGGATCTGATTTACCCAATCGCTAACGGTCGCGGCCAGCTTCACTGTGAAGGAGGCTAAGCTAAGAAGCTAACCAGAAATCGCGTGTGCTGTAAACAACCCTACTGAGAGGAGAAAAGTACAGAGCCGAGCGAGACTACTGTAAATGAGAGCTGCTGCTTTGACAGAGAAATTTAATTTAATTTGGAAGCCTTATCAACACGGACCGGCTTTATTCACTTCCTCCACTGCCGTATGCTAAAATAACTAGCAGACACCGCGCAGAACATCTACGTCGTTCAAAACTCCTCCTTCTGTTTGCTGATTGGCCCAGGTAAAATTCTACCGAAGAAATCCTTGTCTGTGGGAGAAATCCCAGACGGAGCAGTGAAGGGAAACTAGAATTGAGCAGAACTGCGTAGGAAGGCAAGGGCCAGGCTAGCGAATATCTGAAGTTGAAAAATTGTATTTTAAAATAGCAAAACCCTAGCTAAAATTAGCAAAAGGCTAGGTAAAAGTAGCAAAATGCTAGCTAAAATTAGCAAAAGGCTAGCTAAAAGTAGCAAAAGGTTAGCTAAAAGTATCAAAATGCTAGCTAAAAGTAAAAGTGGTCCAAGACAAAAATAGAGAACTGAAGATTTTTTGAAAACATTTTTGTAGAAACTTGAGTTATCTCAATGTGTTTCTATGGATAAAATATCTGTAAATAATGTAAAATATTGCTAAAAAAAAAAGTATAAAAGGCATAGCTCCCATCTCTTGAATGAGCTGAATGTTTAAATAGAAAAACTAAATGAGCAGAATTAAATAGATTTTAAATGTAACTGAATGATGTCATGGATCGCTCTGAGGAGCAGTCTCTGGGGTTATTTGGTGTTGATGCTCAGCTGTACGGCAACAAACGTGGGTCAGGAACTTTACAGATTAAAATATTTACATCAAACAGCTCATAATGCATTTAAAATGTGTGATGTTTCTAGGGTTAAATTTCAGGAGCTCCAGTTTGTTGTAAAAGTCTGCTCAGTCCAGAATGTCTCCAGAAACTGTCCTTTAGATGATGAACACAGTTTCACTTCATTCACTCTAATTTCCCACTAAAATCCACTCCCATAGCCACGAATATTTCATTCAAACTTTCATCTGGTTTTACATTTTCACGTCCCTGAACAGCATAAAAGAGCCCTCGGTTTGAAGTGGGGTTCACCTGGTAGGTTATTAACAGTTAATATCTTACCTGTTGTAGATGCCTAATTCTGCATTGTGTGTTTTTTTTCCTGCCTGAATATTATAAAGTTCTGCAGGCTGCAATGAGAGTGCTACAGCTAGCTGCTGTTGCTAGTCGCTTTTACAAATAACTAGAATTCCAAGTAAATAATGTCGTGAAATTAACAGCGACATTAACAGAAGAGGAATGTCTGGGTTTTTATTACAGCACAATTCTGTTTAACACTTCTTGTACGTTTAAATGGCATTTCACAAAACTATCTGCAACAGGTTAGATGTTTATTGTTCCTGCTTTCCATAAAGCCTCGCTCTTCGGCAGAACTGAACTGTCACTTTAAGGTTTAATTCCCCAGTTGAAGAAATGTGAAAAAAAAGCAAAGAGGCAGGTATGTTACGGCTCGTGAGGCGTTCATGCACTACAAAAATTAGCCATAAAATATGTTAAAATAAATAAATTATAGTTTTCTCAAATTAAGTGAAATTAATCTGCCAGTGCAGTGAATATTGCACTTTCTAGCTAACAAGATTAATGATCTGACTCTGCTCTTGCTTAGGGTATTAGTCTCAAAACAGGAWCAAAAATACTTTTTGCCTCATATAAAACTTAGACGGACAATTTTTACAGTTTGAACCTTCGGGAAATCTGATATTTGCACTCAGATCCTCACGAAAGGACGTCGTCACGATCAGCTCTTGTGATTTATCGTATTTAAAAACTCAAAGAGGTGAATCCTTCAGTGACTCAGCTGTTTAGAAAAATAAAGCAGCTTTGTGCTCGGAGGACCTTCATAATCGCTGCTGGTGCTCACAGAGAAACTGACGGCCGTTGCGTAACCCGGAGTCCTGGCAGCAGCGATGATGTGGCACGTTGCTGCTGGAGTCGCAGCTATGACACGTTGGTGTGGAGTTTTCTGCCGCAGTGTAATCTGTGTGTGTGTGTGTGTGTGTGTGTGTGTGNTGTTCCTCTCTGTGCCTTTAAGACCACACGTGTCTCTCCTCTCCCTGTGCACCTCTCAAAGTTTGACTGTGGGGAATATTGAGGAGACGGGTGCAGCAGAAACACACAGCAGCATCCGAGGAAGAGGGGGAGGAGGAGGAAGAGGAGGCAGCTGTGAGACAGGGAGAGAGAGGGGTGGGGGGGGGGGGGGGGAAATGGACCACAGCTCGTGTGGGAGGGTCCGACTCCGGCGATAAGAACAAAGACAGAGATGATCTGAGTGGATTCGGAAATGGGAAATACAGGAAGGTTGATGTGACGCCCGGCTGCAGCCTCCTCTCCTCTCCTCTCCTCCTCCTCCTCCTCCTCCATCCCATCATCATCATGCCGCTCGTCCTCCGCGCGCTCCTCTTTGGCTTCGTCACGCTGCTGGTGCTGCTTCTGGTTCTGGACGATATGGCAGAAGTGGGGAAAGAAGCTGCGTGAGTCCTTTCTCCTCCAAAACCACATGTGTGTCAGAGCGCGTGGAGTCCAGATTATAATCTGAGAAGGTGTAATCTGTGTGTGTGTGTGTGTGTGTGTGTGTGTGTGGGAGAGGATTAGCATTGCACCGTCAGCGTATGTGATTTGCGTTTGACATTGGGCCGGCAGCGAGGTGATCCGGGGTCAGCTCAACTTACCGTCAGAGGAGGGGGAAACCGAAGAGGCCCCGGCGTCGGACTGAGGGAATAAAATCCCATCATGCACTGCTGCAGCTCACAAACTTGTTTTTTTTTTTTTTAAATAAAGTCAAACCATCACATCGAGAATCATAAACATCTCATTTCTGACCGAAGCGAAGCTGAGATGTGCAGCTGCTGAGAACCGTGGGTCCGGAAACACCCGAGTGACGTTTAGTTACAGCTGAATAATACAACAAATAAAGTGATCAGTAAACTGCTGTTTTTCTGTTTTTGTGGGTTCAGCATCGAGACCCGGCTGGTTCTGACGTGCAGGTCTGTCCGGATCACGAGCGAAGAGGCAGAGCTGCAGCAGAGGAGCCTCAGGTACAAAAAAAAAAATCAACTTCAAACTGAAATTTTGACTTTAAATTAATGAGAGGAAGCCCTGCGTTTGTGCAGAATCAACCATCAAATATCAAAGTTCTGCTGCAGTTGGACGGGATAAATCTTCTGCCAGCAGGAATTCAATTAATTTAGTTAGTTTCGCTAAATTGAAACTGAATTTAAAGTTTTGAATTTGAATTAATTTGCTTTGAAACTATATTTTGGTTTATTAAAAATGCGGTTTCGCTACTTTTAGTTTCAGTTCCAAAATCCAGATTTTTGTGTCACACTTCCTGGTCCTTGAGAAAGCCAGGCAGRGTAATCAAACACAGATCCACAGATTTAAGTTTCACTTTGGTGAAGTTTCCCTTCTGTGTGTAACATAGTTGATGCAATCCACTGTAAAAGTGACAAAAACAGGCAGTCATTTTATTGCAGTGATTAATTTTACCTGTAGAACACGTTACATTTACATCACATCATGGATCAGTCAGCAGCAGCATCTGATCAATACTGAATGCGATCCATGATGTGAAGTAAATGTAACTTTTTATACATATGGGTAAAATTAATCAGTGCAATAAAATAACTGTCTGTTTTTGTCACTTTTACAGTGGATTGCATCAACTCTGTTACATACAGAAGGAAACTTCACCAAAGTGAAACTTAAATCTGTGGATCTGTGTTTGATTACTCTGCCTGGCTTTCTCAAGGACCAGGAAGTGTGACACAAAAATCTGAACTTTGGAACTGAAATCGAAAGTAGTCTAACTGAATTTTTATTTGACCAAAATACAATTTCAAAGCAAATTAATTCAAATTCAAAACTTAAAATTCAGTTTCAAACCAGTGCGTTCAGTTTTAAATTATGCACATACAGATTCAATCTGAGCAATTCACATTCAATTCCTGCTGGCACAAGATTTATCCCATACAGTTGTTTCATTTGTTCTGCAGAATTTTCACTAAGTATTTTTGTTTAATGTTGATTATTTGAAGTTTTAGATGCAAAAATCCCACTTTATTCTTTCAACATGACTGTTTCAGTGAAAAAAAAAAGTGTTTTATTGAAAAACTACAACCCAGAATAGAAAAGCAGGTGAAGAACTGTCGATTAATTCAGCGGCTGATTAAATCCACTTTTGTTTTCAGCAGCAGGAGGACGAAGGTCTGGAGCTTCAGGGCCTTCAGGGTCTCGAGGTGCCCTGGTCTCAGGAGAGGGCCGCCCTGCAGCAGGAGGTGCGCCTGTTCCGACGCAACACCATCATCTTCTACATGAAGCTCAGGGGGATCCTGCTGCGCTGGAGGCTCGGCCGCAGGGACGACTCGGGAGACGAGACGTTTCCWCCGGAGGTGAGACGGGACGACCGCGTCTCTCTCTGCTGAGTTATGAGACGGACCAGGAGGTTTGGCTTTGGTGCAGCTTTAGTTTGAGGACTGATTCAGAGATCACAGCACAGTTTTAGCTTCAGGTCTGTTTCTGTGATGAGCTGCTCGAGCGGTCCACGAAGCTCCGCCTCCTGTTTACAGTTTCCTGTGCATCCTGGGATAACTAAGCTCGATTTATGTTCTCAGTCCCTGGCTGTCCTGTGGTGAAACCTCATCAGTGCTCACAGATGGTGCAGCAGCGAGGAGCTGCCGCTTCCCTCCTGCATCCTTGACTCAAAGTCAGGTTTCTTGTTAGCTGTCTGAGCTCAGGGGGCGTTAATCTGCAGCTCTGTAGCTTTGACCGAAAACACCCTGAAAATAACGATCTTTAAATCTGTTAATGTAATAAAAAAAGCTGCTTTTATGATGCTTTAACAGAGCGATGAACAAAAGAAGCTTTAACCATCTCGTGTTTTAAAGTATTTGCTGCAGCATTGGTTGTGTATTTTGTAACAAAAGTTTTAAATAATTTTCGGAAAGCACCGGATGTTTAATTTACGTTTTATTTATTTCAAATTAACCCTTCGGTGTGTAGCTGGAGCGGTACCTCATCCRTGTTTTTTCGTATCGTCTTGTTCCAGCTGGAGAGGTTGGAGGTCTTCCCGGAGCTGGGAGCGCCGCCGGAGCGAGACGACCGGCTCCGGTTACCACCGACCGCAGGGGACGCCCCCGACAGTGGACCGAGCGTCCCTCTGCTGTCCCCTGATCGGCCCCTGCAGCAGCAGAGACAGGTACCGCCGGACCCATTAGGTTCTGCACAAACTCCAAAATTAACGTTTAAATCTAAACGTGGGCTTTTTAACTTTCCTCGAGATGTTTGGGATTATTAAAACCTCTTCAAAATAAAACCAAACCTCKTTTTTAAAGCAAGTGGTAGATTGAAAACTCTTAAAATAATAAAAAAATACTAGAAAGATGAAAAGAGTTATAGGTAATGGCTAAATTTTAAACAAAGCCCACATCTGTTAGTGCTCAGAATACCTCTTAGGGATGATGCTCACCTACTACCACACCAAGTTTTAGGTCAATATCTGTAAAACTGTCTGAGTTGTAGCCATAATTGTGTTTTTCAAGATCAGTTGGATTTGGCAGCCATCTTGAGTTAAATCAACTCCAAAAGGTAATCAGCTGTAGACAAACATCCATAGATTACTTCCTGTTAGTTTCATTAAAATCCACCCAGTGGTTCGTGAGATATTTTGCTAACAGACAGCTTATTTGCAGTAGACGACAAAAAACGAACTAAAACTGGGTCGTTTTTTTCCAGTTTGGCACTTCATGCAAATTTTGACCCACTTATCGGCTTCGAAGCAGAATTTATATCGAGCTTCTCGCTGCGACTGAAGTCATGAAAGACGCCGGCGTCCTTTAAGATCCCGTCGAGGTGCAGGACTTGTTGAGATCAGGTCTCGGTCGGCCTCTCCTGTAAAGTAGAACCAGCGGATGTAAGCAGTCTGGACCGGCTGCATTATTAAGCACCTCTAAGTGCCTCGCTTTGTTCAAGGTGTTTTTTTTTTCATCATAAAGAGGAAGCTGAAGAGTGATCCCACTTCACTCTGCGAGCAGTTTTTCACTTTGAATAATCAATGTTTAATAAAAGCAAGCAGTAATACAGACCTGCAGCCTGTTTCTACACAAGCAGCCTCTGCAGAGAGACATGATACGATGTAAGGAGGTCAGTCAGGCTTTTCACAGCGGAGTTGGCAGAAATTGAGTCGAAACGTGAAATCTGTGCTGGAAATTTAGTTCCACAGAGTCCTGACGAAATCTGATTCTAAAAATAAATATCAGGAATAATTCAGATGAGAGTTTTTCTGCAGTGATGAAACTCTGGAGTTTTAACAGATGGTACCCGTGACATATCTCAACAGCTGTTCATCTCAGCGGTGTGAAATTTATTTTGCAGCATGTTATTAATTTTATCTTTCCAAAAAATGCATTCATGTTTATTACAAAAAATTGATGTCACAGGCACTTTAAGTACTAAACTTAAAAAAAGTAAAGAAATTTGTGTTTGGTTGATTATATTTTTGTTTTAAAAATGCTTCTTGGCATTTTTCTCACACATATCCTGTATGTGTGAGTTTAATGTTTTGTGGATCAGATGTTTCAAGCCTGAAGAAACAAGACATGTTGTCAATTTAACAGTTTATTCTTTCAATCAGGGTTGTCAGTAGCATGTGGAAGAACCATACACAGCCACAACAGGACAGTCTTAGTGAAAGATTCATTGTGATCAATTAGTTCTCAGAGTATGTTCTGGGTGCAACTCTCAGCTACTACCACGTCAGATATGAGCTCCGTATGTGTTAAACTGACTGAGTTATAGCCATTTTTGTGTTTGCAGATATAATTGGCTGTGGCGGCCATCTTAAATTGAGTTGATGTCAAACATAAATCAGTTGAAGATGTACGTCCAGTGATTACTTCCTGAAAGTTTCATTACAATCTGACCTTTGGTTCATGAGATGTTTTACTAACAGACAAATGGACTGATGATCACCCTGAGCTCATCAAAACATTTAAGATGTTTCTGTTTCCTGTTTCTGCAGTTCGGGGAGAACCGGCGGGTGCTGCAGGCCCTGCGGGCGCTCCTGGAGGAGTTCCGAGAGGAGCTGCGGGAGGAGGAGTCGAGGCGGTGCCAGCTGCAGCAGGCGTACGCCAGCGACAAAGCTGCCTGGGAGGTCAAGTGGACGGAGATGAAGTGCCGGGTCGCCCAGGTACAGATGGCCTCTCAGCGCCGGCCGTTTAAAGAACCGGAACACAATCTGGTCGGAAAAAAAAAAAACCACCGTGCTTTTTTAGACTGCAGGAACCGGACGGTAAACATGTTGCCTCTTCCAGGCGTGACGTCCAGCTCCGGGCTAAAACAAACATGAGTTTAGCTCCAGATTCAGATCAGATTTAACAACAAAAGGAACAAAAATAAATTCATGAAGTKCAAAGCTGGAACAATTTACTGCAGCACCAGTCGGGACTCGACCCTGTCGCTTTATAAATTTAATTCAACAGCAGTCTGTAAACATCTAAAGAGGGAAACGTCTCGTTCTTGTCTGATCTAGAATGTGAAACTGAGGTGGTCTTTGCTGGGTTTTTGTCATGATGTGCTAAATAAACTCAGTTTGTTGTTTCGTGTCGTCTYGCTGAAATAAGCAAGGCCTTCCCTGAAAAAGTTGTTTTATGTCTGTCTAAAACCCGTGTATAATTTTTTGCATTGATGGCGCCTTTCCAGATATGTTAGCTGCCCCTAAGAGAGGCACGAATACAAACCTATACCATCAGCGAGGCTGGCTTTTGAACTGTGYGCTGAAAATGATAGGATTTGTCTTTCTTCCCTTCTAAAATGCTCGTTTTATACCGAGTCCTCTGATACAAATTCTTAGTTTTAAACATTTGATGTTTACAATGTTGCACTAAATGCGATGAAATACTTTAAAATTTTGGTTGTTTGCTAAAAAAAGAAAGGCGAGCAAATTAAAAAAAATAACTTTCTTTTTCATGTCATGTAAGAGCTGAAATTGATTTACAACAAATTCCAAACCTTTACAGATTGACCTAAAATCTGTTCAGATCTCAGTATTTGATGAAAACGGTTTTATCCTGACCCAGAGATGCATTCTTCTGAATAATGCCTGAAATCTTTGCGACATCAAATTGTACCTCTGTCAAAAATCCTTCTGTTATCAGTTTGTTCAGAAGATTTAAGCGTGTGGAGAAAATGCTGAGTCATGAAAGGTCAGGGTGGCCTTGATGAGATTGTGGAAATCACAGCAGGAGCCTCTTTGTCGGCTGCGCAGGACAATCGATCCTGATGGCTGGAGGACGGAACACGCTCTCCTCCTAACCTCCTGATCTGAAGATCACAAMGTCAGAGCTTTATGTGGTTCTAAAATAAAAAAAAGAAAAAAAAGAAGAAATACAGCTATTGGAAGCAATAAAGAGATTTGAGTAGCTCTGTGTGCAAAATAAATACTGAGCTTCTCTGAGTAATGGATATTTTGTTCCGATGGTTTGTTCTTCAGTTCGGGTCCAACGGGTCAAASCAGGAAGCAGTTTTATCATGTAAAACGAGGACAGAAATAATGTTAAACTGAACAMAAAGAACTAAAACCTGCAAAGAAAAGCTTCAGATGCGGCAGAAACGTAAAGTTTCCTGTGTGATCTGTTAGCGCTGTCAGAGGACAAGCTTTCGGCTACTAACACACCAAACTTTAGCTCATCACCTGTGAGAACTCACTGAGTTTATTCGTTTTTATTCACTCAGCTGTGGAGGCCATCTTGGATTGAATYGTTTAAGATTCATTAAAATCCATCTACTGATTTGTGAGATATWTTGYTAACAGACACGTKATGACATCATCRCTCTCCTTYCGTGGTTGGTATATTTTCTTTCCTGCAGATGCAAAGGGAGCTGTGTACCAGAGACCCGGTCAACAGGGGGTTCTTCTCAGGCCAGGACGGTCCGTGTAACGCCCCCCACTCCCCCTCTGCGTCCGCCCCGATGCCCCCCACTCGCTCCCACTCGGACTCGGAGGCCCTGCTGGAGGAGCGGGGGGCCGTGGCGAGGCTGAAGGGCTCGACGGAGAACCTGTTCCTGGACGCGCTGTCTCTGGACCCCCTGGGTGGTCTGGAGGTCCCGCCGCCCTCTAAGCTCGAGAGCGAGAAGAGGTTCCCCTGCATGACGGAGGTAAATGAGGTTTATGAGATTTTTACGAACAGCGATGTTTCAAAGCCGAGTTTTTAGATTAAATTCATTTTTGTTATTTTTCCTGAATTTCCTGCCTTTTWTTCATGTTTTTCCACTCGTAATGTGTGTGTTTTCTGCTTCTCAGGCCCTGAACGAGATCTCAGAGACTGAAGGTGCTCCTGACCTTGCAGAGGAGGACCTGAGGGAGGGAGGAAGTCTCCTCAGGTAACCTTTAGACACAAAGCTTCGTTGTTTTTATCAATAAACTGGTTTCAGAAAATCAGCTGCAGATTATTCAGACTCGCCGCAGTTTTTTTTAGCCGCTCCTCCCGAGACGTCGGTCRTCGACTCGATTAACTTTTACTTGAAGTGACACGGAATCTGTCCCCGCTGACKTCTCTTTTATGGAAGGAAACGGAGCCGGACCGCTGAGACGATAAATAATTCAGGCAATTTTAAAAACATTGTAAAGCTGCAGAAAAAAATACCAGCTCGTTTAGAGGTTTTATTTTTATTTATTTATTTTTTGTTTTCTTCTGTGGAGAAAAGAAAAGAGGTTGTGATGTTTGTTTCGAGYTGGATTTAAAGATGGTCAGGAAGCTCGGACTAAAACATGATAAAATAATTAAAAAGTCGTCATTGTTGTTTTTAAATGAACAGCTCCCACCTGTGTTTGTTACCTACAGAAACAGCTGAAATGACTGAAAAAGGGATAAAATTACAACATTTTCAATAAAATGTCAAGTTTTTCTAATCATTTTTTATTTTAACGCAAAATTATTTAAAATGTGAACAAACGGATATTGATTTTTGTCATTGAAATTTGCATAAAAGCAAGTCCATAAAGACACAGCTAGCTAACTAAATTAGCATATTGCTAACCTTTAAATGAAAGWTTTTATCAACGGTGTCTTCAGAAATACTCTCTTTAATGGCGATCTCCACTCATGACGTCATACGTACATTAAAATTTGTATAATAATATCATAATTTGTGTGACTGACTGCAGTAGAGTGCTATATATGAGGCTAGCATAGATGCTAAGGAAGCAGCTACCAGTACAGTAAAAACAATAAGGTTTACTATATTTTCTTAGTGACATAGAGTGCAGGGATAGGATCTGGGTGGTCCAGTTTGGGTCTTTTACCTCAGATAAAATGTTTGGAGCAGACGTTAAATCCATTGTTACACTTTGCTCTGATCAAACTCAGCTCATCCCATCGCTTGAATCCAGCTAACTAGCATCTTAGCTAGGGAAAAGTGACAAAACATACTCCTTCCATGTGGGGATGACGGCTGTGTCCTGAGTCACTGTTACAAGAACTGTAGCACAATGTTTTGTTGTCCTCCTGGTGGAAATTAATGCAGTTTTCCTGAATTTCTTTAGGCTTAAAGGGAACATATCATGTAAAATCTACTTTTTTAGCCATTAAATACATTTTGTTTTGTACTTGGAGTCTCTAGGAGGTAGAAAAGCTGGATTTTTGTCTCTCCTAGTGCTTCAAAGRWATATTTATATTCTGTTTGGGTCATATTTTTCAGCCCKTTCAGTTTTCTCTATTTTCTATGACGTTTTCTGAGTTTTTTACGTCAAATTATTTGCAGCGTTACAGCCAAAWAAGGTCTGGACTTAMTAAATACAATTTCCTCGTCTTCRTTCTGCWCTGGTTCTGGGATGGACAAGTCTTCTCTTGCTGACATCTTTTAATTAAATTGTAAATAAAACTCTTCTGCAAGCTAGAAAACGTAACCCCCGGAGGAGACCGGTCTGGAAGCCGGAGGAGGCGGGGCTTAAAACCAGCTGCTTTGAGGCACTCATCAGGAAAGGGGTGAAAGATGGGCTGATAAAGTTAGAATAAGAAGGAATTCAGACCAAAGCAATGTAGCTACACTTAATAAAGACCCCAAGTGAAAGATTTAAATGTTAAAAGGAAGGATTTTTAAAACTTTACATGTCTGCTTTAAACAGAGTYAAACCTCACACTGTGATTGAAACAGCTACCAGAGTTTGAACGCTCACCGGTGTTGAGCGGACGTGACCACTGTTCTAAAAATAACCTGATATTTCATTTCATTTTCCTCTACAGCCGTAAAGATGGAAAATCCCTCCCTTAAATGATTAGTGTCACTTTGAAGATTTTCTTTAATTTAGGACTGGAAAATATTATATTGTAAACATAACTACCTTGTTGCCAGGTGATAAATCAACAATTTGCATCTCATTTTGATGCGTTTGAGATGGAAAATTAGAAAATAACTGGTCATATATTTCCGCCTCTTCTCTGAGATTCAWCACCAGTTCTGCCGTATTTTTTTAYGTACACAAACYTTTTGATTGATTCATSCGAATGCTTTGTTTGTTGTTTGTTTTACGTTCAGAGCCAAGTCCGTTTGCTCCATGAGCGACTTCCAGCGGCTGATGGACAGCTCGCCGTTCCTCCCCGACAAGACGCGGCTGGGCGACCGCGGCCGGGACGACGTCACCCCGCCTCTGTCCCCGGACGACCTGAAGTACATCGAGGAGTTCAACAACAAGGGCTGGGACTTCCCGCCGCCCGCCTCTGGTCCACGGCCCATCCGGGAAGGGGAACCGGGCCCCGATCCTTTCCAGCCTGCTTCCTGGTTCCTGACCACCAGCGCCACCCTGACCACCAGCACCTTGAGCAGCCCCGAGCGCTGCCACAGGTCCCCGCTCAGGGGTAATGGAGGGGTGGGAGGGGTGGAGCACTTCGGGGTCCACATCCTCCACAGCCCCACCAGAGCCGGGGCGGCGGAGCATCCCTCTGCTCCAGAACCGGACTTGTTGTACTCCAAGGGGGCCCACGCCAGAAGCGGAGGAGAGGCTGGGATGGGTCCGAGTGGTCCGGACGAGGTGTTCAGCGGTACGAGGTGGCCCTGCCTCCTGGAGGGCGGGGGGCTCAGGACTTCTCCTAACCAGTCCCCCATCTGCTCCACGGTGGGCTACGCCTCCTCCCTGGAGCTGCAGCTCCACAGGAACATGAGCGACGACATGAAGGAGGTAGCCATCTCTGTGAGGAACGCCATCCGGTCGCCGCCGGGCCCGGCGGTCCGCGACACCGCCTGCCAGACCAACGGGTTCACCACCCGAGGCACCCAGACCACCCAGACCATCAGCGTGGGTCTACAGACAGACCTGCTGCGGACCCTGACCGGCAGCCCCCACCGCTGCCTCACCCCTAAAGGGGGCAACACGCCCGTGTCGTCTCCGTCCCGCAGCCAGMGGAAAGTCCCGTACTCTCCGGTGGTCCAGAGCAAGTTCGAGCGTCCCTGCTGCTCTCCAAAGTACGGCTCCCCGAAGCTGCAGCGCAAACCGTCCGCCACCAGCAAACCCGAGGCCCCCAACACCAGCCGCGCCCCGACCCCCACCACGCCTCAGAAGGGCAACAGCGAGTCGGCCTGGGCCCGGTCCACCACCACCCGGGACAGCCCGGTCCACACCACCATCACCGACGGCCTCTCCAGCCTCTTCAACATCATCGACCACACRCCGGTGGTCTATGACAAGTTCAACAAGTCCCCCAGCCGCTCGCGCCCCACGCCGCCCCCCACCGCCGAGCCCAGCCCCGCCCACCAGGCGAGCCTTGCCGCCGACCCCGGAGCATCGCAGGACGGGCCGCGGACCGCCCGGGGCCGCTCGCCGAGCCCCGCGCGGCTGACCGTGGAGGTGCAGGGGGACAGGAACCCCGAGGCGGCGAGCGTCCGCCAGGACCTGTCGGCGCCGCCGGGCTACACGCTGGCCGAGAACGCCGCCCGCATCCTGAACAAGAAGCTGCAGGAGCAGAGCTGCAGGGAGGAGCGGCGGCTGCAGGCCGGAGGGCCCAGCAGAGACGGCGGCAGGCCGGCCGAYACCGACAGAGGACAGACGGGATGTATGGAGGTAAATATGCCGACATCCTGGATCCACGGCTTCATCTTTCAGTCGATCTGGTGTTTCATGACTCCATGACTCTGAGACGCTTTTAAAATTTGATCATTAGCTTTAAAATGTTAATGCTTCTTTTGTTCCCAGATAGAAAGCTCTGASAGACACGACGGAAATGTTAAAATATTTAACCCTCCTCTGAAGACACGTTTCTTTTTCTCTGTATCTCTCTGCTCCTGTCTGGATCTCTGGATCTCTGCAGCTCCACAGAAATCTGTTTCACAGTGAAATAAATCATCTCTTGTTCATGAAAAGCTGCAGAATCTATCAAACGTTAGGAAAGAAACGGCGCTTTATTTAATCAGTCTGGCCCATTGATCTGACCTATAATGACAGTAATAAATGTAAGAACTGAGTAATGTTTTCTCTCATTTTAAAGTCTACAGATAGATTTTATTAAGGTATTAATATACACTTGATCATACTTTATTGTAGCAGAAGTATGTTTTATATGTAACAAATCTGTTACATTTAAAATAATGAACTTGGTGAAGACTTTTCTGGAGGAAATTACACAAATTARCTGATAAAAGAAATCAAACTAATCTGTTGAAGTTTTTTTTACTGATAAACTTTGTTGACATGAAAACAAACTTTTCTTGTGTTTTTCCCCTCCTGTTTAAYGGTTGTTTGCAGACTTCTGTGCGGCCTCCAGGCTGACAGCAGCGTCAAAATTCATTTTGCTAGTTTTACAAATCGACATTTCCCTCTCTAATCTTTCCCTTCTTCCTCCTCCTCCTCCTCCTCCTCCTCCTCCTCCTCCCGTCTGCTGTGATCTGGTCCAGAACCACACTGTCATACTAACAACACCTTGGGGGCTCTAACTCTGCTTGTCTCCATGATGTAAGTTCCTCTTCCTCCTCTTCSTTCATGGCCGTCGGCGGTGGGTTCACCCGGGCTGGCGGACCTGTCACCTCACGCCCTGCAGACCTCCTCCTCACCTCCCCTCACCTCCTCTTCATTAACGCATGCTCCACAGGTCAGCAGGGTGTGTGAAGCAATCGACGTGGTGTCAAAAGTTGTGCATCGATTCCTTTGTGTTGATTTGTGCATGCTCTGTGTTTTAGATTGATCATCTGTTTAGTTCTGAAGGACCATACTGGTGGTTTTGCATGTTGTCCATTTAACATCAGTCACGTCTACTTCCTGTAACACAATGTCATGCATTTTTTTAGAAATTAAATTTTACTGACTTTTTTCTTTTTTTCATTTGTATAGATCATTTAAATTACATTGTTCATRAGAAAAAAATTGAAAAAAATGCTTCGTTCTAAATGATATTTAAGATCTCRTCCACAAAAAACCAAACTGTCTCATGGGGAAAAAACATTTGCAAATATGACATCTTATTACAACAACAGAAAGGTTCAAAGGTTGAAGTGGTATGATGTTTAGCTGGCTCAGAAAGTGGAGGGAAATCAAACTGCATGTTTTTTTTTCAATGTGGAAAGAAAATTTTCAATTCCTATTATTTTAAGGTAATTCTTAGGATAAAATAAGTTACAATTTATTTGTGAAATTTTAAGAAAATGACTATAAATGATTTCTTTTTACAACAATAAAAATGTTAGCAAATATGCTAACTGGTTCATGTTTAGCTAGATGAGAAAATGGAGGGAAATCAAACATTTGAGAGGTTAAATTTCAAGATAGCTCTTGTAATAAAATAGATCACTACATATTTACGTATATATAATGTATATATATATA